AAGGGGAGGATGAGGAGGAGGAGGAGGAGGAGGAGGAGCAACAGGAGGAGGAGGAGGACCAGTGGAAACCCAAGAGTAATCGACAATGTCGGAATTAATCCACCCTCCACGCTCCTCTTTCACGGGTCCCTACAACGGTTCATTACCATTTAGGGAACTGCCTCGTTGGAAGACAACAGTCTGACGATCCTAAAGCGTGCCAGACATTGTTCTCGGGACTTGAACGCCACGTATCAACCTGACTGCTGCGTCTTGACGATCCAGAACCGTGCCAGAACGCCATGTGTTGGACATCAACACAGCAAATCAACATAACTGCTGCGCCCGCATTATCCTGAACCCTTCCAACACAGTTTCTTGGGTACGCTGATCATGGGAATCCGTGAAGCTCTTGCAATTTGTTCAAACGAATGTGCGCGGCGCTAAGGTGAGGTCCACCTTTTGAAACTTACCCGCCCTCAACCCGTGAAGCTCTTGCAATCGTTCCAAACGAATGTGCGCGGCGCTAAGGCGAGAGCCACATTTTGAAAACCACCCGCCCTCAATCCGTGAAGCTCTTGCACATGTTCCAAACGAATAGACACGGCGCTAAGGCGAGAGCCACACTTTTGAGAACGACCCGCCTTCAATCCGTGAAGCTCTTGCAAATTGTTTGGACGAATGTGCGCGGCGCCAGGGCGAGAGCCACATTGAATCCGCGAGGGCCACAAATCGTCTAGAATAATGTGCGCGGCGCCAAGGCGAGAGCCACATTTTGAAAGCGACCCGCCCGCCATCTGTGAAACCGTTGTCACTTTTTAAGCTTCAGGGTCATAAATGGTGAGGAAGTCTCAGGCGAAACGCCCGACCCGCCCTAAAAACTGACCTCGGGGTGCGACAGGGAAGAGTTATCTATCAGGAGATGGAATGGAGGAAGAGGAGGACAGGGAGGAGGAGGAGGTGGAGGAGGAGGAGGAGGAGGAGAAGGCCATTCGGCCTGCCTCTTCTCCCCCCGCCTCGTCCCGCCTCCTCCTCCTCCTCCTCCTCCTCCTCCTCCTCCTCCTACCCTCGCCTGCCCCCTCCGCCCTCGCCGTGCCTCCTGCGCCTCCCTCTCGCCCTGCGGTGGAGGCGTTCGATAAGGAGTATTTGCTTCCAGGCGGGACCCTCGGACATCCCTTGCATGTTAAGGATTGGTGGGCGCAGTTCTGGGCCCAGGACAGTTCCTGAAGTCGTGCTGGGCACGAGCGCTGTGGCCCAGGGCCTCGACCACTCTTTAAAAGAAGAAATTGAGCTCTGCCCATCCGAGTCTCCGCTTTCCTCCTGCCCTCTCCTGTCTCCTCGCCCTGCTTTCTCACGCAGCGCTTCTCACGCAGTGCTCCTCGCCCTGCCCCCTCACGCAGTGATCCTCGCCCTGCCTCTTTGCCCTGCCTCCTCGCCCTGCCTCCTCACGCAGTGCTCCTCGCCGTGCCTCCTGCGATTTCCTCTCGCTCTGCCTCCGCCGCCCCCCCCCCCGCGGAGGGCGCAGCCCCGTGTGAGGCCTTTTTCTGTTGCGGTCGCGGCGCCTCTCTCGGCGTCTCGGCCCCCCCCTGGGGCCCGCCTTCGGGGAGCCCCGGGGGCAGGGCAGGAGGCGGGAGAGGGCAGGAGGAGCAGACGGAGGAGGAGGAGGGGGAGGAGGAGGAGGAGGAGGAGGAGGAGGAGGAGGAGGAGGAGGAGGAGGCGGGACGAGGCGAGGGGAGAAGAGGCAGGCCGAACGGCCTCCTCCTCCTCCTCCTCCTCCTCCTCCTCCTCCTCCTCCTCTTCATCCCTCCTCCTCCATTCTTTTTCCTTATACATATCTTCTCCCTGTTGCACCGCGAGGCCAGTTTTTAGGGCGGGCGGGGCGCTTCGCCTGAGACTTCCTCACCATTTATGACCCTGAAGCTTCAATTCGACAGTAGTTTCACATATGGATGGCGGGTGGTTTTCAAAATGTGGCTCTCGTCTTAGCGCCGCACACATTCGCTGTAAACGATTGTAAGAGTTGATCCGATTGAGGGCGGGCCGTTTTCAAAATGTGGTTCTCGCGCCAGCGCCGCGCACACTCCTTTAAAACAACTTTGCAAGAACATCACGAATGGAGGGCGGGTGGTTTTCAAAAGTGTGGTTCTCGCCTTAGCGCCGTGCACATTCGTGTGGAACAATTGCAAGAGCTTCACAGATTGAGGGCGGGTGGCTTTCAAAAGGTAGCTCTCGCCTTAGCGCCGCGCACATGCGTTTTCATAACAATGTGCAAGAGCTTCACGGACTGAGGGCGGTTCCTTTTCAACAGTTGGATCTCGCCTTCGCGCCGCGCACATCTTTTTGTTAATGTTGCAAGAGTTTCTCGGATCCCCATGATCAGCATACCAGAAACGGTGTTCGGGAAGGGTTCAGGATTTCGAGGTTGCCACAATCACGTTGATTCGCGGTGTTGAAGTCCCAGGGGTGGCGTTCTGGCACGATTCAGAATCGTCAAGACGCAACAGTCACGTTGATCCGTGGCGTTGGAGTCCCGAGTATAATGTTTTGGAATGTTCCAGGGCCTTCAAACGCTTGTCTTCCAACGAGGCAGTTCCCTCAGTGGATATGAGCCGCTGTAGGGGCCTATGAAGCGGGAGCTTGGAGGGAGGGTTTATTCCAACATCGTTGATGACTCTTGGGTTTCTACTGGTCCTTCTCCTCCTCTTCCTCCTCCTCCTCCTCCTCCTCCTCCTCCTCCTCCTCCTCCTCCTCCTCCCCCTCCTCCCCCTCTTCCTCCCTCCCCGTAAACGTGCTCGCGGCGATGTAGGTAGTGGTGATGTAGGTTTCGGTATTGTGGGAACGCGTGGCCCGCGCTCTCCTGCAATTCGCTTTGTCGTGCTCGCTCGATTCATTCGCAGATAGGAGATGTAGGAAAGTGTGGTTCGCGATGTCCTACAATTTGGTTCCCAACATCACCATTCAGCAACATCGCCGTTTGGCCGGCCTTGGCCCCTGGGGCCCGCTTTCGGGGGGGCCCGGGGCCATCATTTTTCGACCAAGCAACAAACCACACCACCCCACCTACGGCCCTTCATGTTGTGCTACGGCCCATGGGGTGCCGTAGCGCATGCCACGCAAAAGCCGACGCACAGTTTTTGCATATGATGAGCCCCCTGGGGCCGTAGATGGGGTGGTGTCGTTTGTTTTCTGATCCAATGTTGATCTTACTTTTGATCAGCATCGTTTAACGGACCCCTACGGCTGAGGGAACCAAATGGGCAGCAACTCCCCCCTCCCCCGCAGTTCAAAGTTGGCACGGTTACGCATCGCCGCTCGGAGACTCGAGCTCGGAAGGTCCGAAGCCAGCATTGCATTCGGTGGGATGCGGGGGGTTCAAACCATGTTTTATTCGTGAGTGTTGCTGAATTGTTTCCGACACCTGTATCCCCATTCCCATTGCGCGCGCCTAGCCTCGTTCCCGGTCGCTGCTTTTTAGGACTTCGCTGGATCGTATTGGCGGCGCGCGGCTCCTCCGCTTGAGCTCGCGAACAAAAAAGAAGTATCCCCATTCCCATCCCTATGCAGACCCCCACCATCTCAGCACCCCAGTTGGGGATATACCCCTCGAGGCTCGAAGACGACAGCCTGCATCCCCATCTGGGGGTAATCGGCGAGTGGGGCCCAGGCCACGCGCATGGGGATAGGGGTCTCTTATACGGTTAAGTCGGGCGGTTACACGGTTAAGTTAGCCGGAATAGTCAAACATAGTTAAAAAATAGTCAGGACATTATTTTTGATTGTTTTGGGCCATTTTGGAACATTTTTGGGTTTTTTTATTTTTCGTCGAAAATCCCCTTGTAGGGGGACACGCCCGACTTCATTATACGGTTCTCAATAGTGTTTTTGTTTTGTTTTGTTTTTCGATGACTGAGCACTCCTCGCGGCCATGCTTGGTTGTTAACTCCTCTGGTGTGCGGCCGTCTGAGTAAGTAGGCGTTCGCATCCTGCAGGTCTATTCGCGGGGGCTGCTCAGCTGCTCCATGCTGCTCAGCCCAGGGGCCATCAAAGAGGGGTCCGGAACGGGTTGACAACTACCCCCGACGGAGGGGTCGGGAGCGCTGGGGCAGCGGATGCACAACACACCACATCGCAGGATGTCTGGTGGCGCAGGCAGCGGGGGCCAGCCCTGACGGGGTGAGCCTCCTCCTTCTCCTCCGCCTCCTCCTCCTCCTCCTGCTCCTCCTGCTCCTCCTCGAGACTATCCCCTCCAGTCCCTTCTGCCCGACCCGGATCCGGGAGCCAGCGCTGACCCGGGTGCATGGCCCCACGTGAAAAGCTTCCAGAAATTTTACCATCCCAGAACTCTGCTGATTCGGACATATTTGGGCCTCCAGAGTTCGCTTTGGGCCACATGGATCGGGAAAGAAATCATCTCACCGAGGGTGCCGAATTAATGCGAAAGATGGGGTCAAGAGCTCCAGGGCCCCGCGTAACTATTGAAAAATCGTGGCGTCGGAAGTCTTGCCCACGATTTCACCGATTCGACGATGCGTGCCGATGCCTGCGCGCGGCATTGATCCAATGATCGGTTTGCCATGCAGGTCAGCCTTTGGGCCGCCATGGTCGACGATCTGGGCAAAAGTTCTGCCACCTTCTCGGGGGAAGGAGAAGCGACACCACCGCCACCACCACCACCACCACCACCACCACCACCACCACCACCACCACCACCACCACCACCACCACCACCACCACCACCACCAGGGGGGCCGCCTCCAGCGAGGAGGTCACGATGCTTTCCCGAGCTGGGAATTGGGGATGTCTCGAGCGAGAGGGGGGATCACACCACCAGGGGGACCCTTTCTGGCTGCTCCCGCTGGTGGTCCCTGGTGTTGGTGGTGTCGCTTTTCCGTATTCCTCACCTGCCAGGATTCAACGTCTTCATGGTGCCGATGGTGGCCATCGTCATGACACAGACCATGTGGCAAGCCTGGAAGGCCACGCCGAACCGGCTGTTGGAGGCCAACCGCGACCTGCTGCCGGAGGGGAGGGCATGGCTGCCTCCGATTTGATGATGCGTGCAGCTGTCTGCGCGCGGCATGGGTCGACTCGAGTACGGCAGGTTCGTGTCGTGTCGACGCGGCGACGCCCGTCGAGGGCGTTCCAGGTTGAATTCCGCCGGTGCCAGAGTCGGCCAGCTGGAATGATTTGGCAGTCGAAAAGCCCCGATCGTTCAGGGTTAAACGGTCCACGCAGTGTCAGAAACCAACGCCAGGGTCGTCATGACGCGAACCTGCCGTCCGCACATCCAAGGGCGACCGTCTTCCTCCGCACATGGCTTTGGATTCGATCGATTGGATCTGGTTTTCCCCACTGATTCGATCAATCTGGGATAAAAGGCAGCCTCTGGACAGACATGTGGGAGGTCACCCAGAGGGTCTCAGACCCTCCACGTTGGGGGTTCAACGAGACTTCTGGAACGTTTTCCTCATCCACTCTGCCTGGATGCTTATTTTTGTTTGCAACCATTCTTTGGTGTTGAGTCTTTGATTTGAATGCACATCGCCACGCCTCCTTCCTCCTCCCCCCCCATCCTTCTCCCCCTCCTCTCTCCTCTCGCTTCTGCCCCCCGCGCGTTCCCATCGTCGTCCTCATCATCAGCGTCCTCATCGTCATCACCAACAATATCGTCTCCATCATCATCAGCAGCAGCAAACTAATAATCATCATCACTACCACCATCATCATCGTCTCCATGATGATCTTCATCATCGGTTTCATCATCGTAATTAGCACCACCATAGCCTTTATCATAATGATCAGCATCACCACCATCATCACCACCATCATCATCCTCAACAAAGTTGTCAGCATCATCATCATCATCATCATCATCATCACCATCACCATTACCATCATCACCATTATCATCATCATATTCATCCTAGTCAGGCCCATCATAACCACCATCATCATCACCATTATCATTTTTATTCTTTGTATTATTGGTTTTCGTGTTATTAGTTTTGGCATTCGTATTATTCTTACTCTTACTTTGTTTATTCATATTATTATTAGTATTGGTATTTTATTCGAACCGTTATCATCGTCATCATCATCGTCATCAGCGTCATCACCATCATCATCGTCATCATCATCACCATCACCATCACTGTTACCATCATCGTTATCATCACATTCATCATCATTACCATCATCATCACCACCATCCTCATCATGTGTATCACTATCCGTGGCCACTGTTGCTCAAGATGGCGTGATCAGGGCGGGTGTCTTGTCCCATGTGCCTGGTCCGAGCCGTCGCGTCACTTCTTGGGTCAGATTCCAAATCCACCGAGCTTTCAGCGAGGCCTCCCTGGCAACAGTCCTTTCATTTCCATAAAACCTTTCCCTCACCCAGCCCCAGTCGCCTGATTGCGGGCCCTGCTTGCGTAGATTCGGCCAATGGCAGGACGTGGAAGTGGTGCTCGAGGTGCCGCGCGCGGTGGCGGCGGCAGAGGAGGCAGACCAGGCGACGGTCCGACAGGCAGCAGTGGCGGCGCACGCAGCCAACCCAAATCTTGGGATTGCCCACAGTGCAGAGCCAAGTAGAATTGGGGCACCAGGCACGTCTGTCGCAGCTGCGGATATGATTGGTGGGATCCAGGATCTGGAGGCTCGTGGTGGCGACACATGTCACAGCTGCGACCCAAGGGACGCCGCGAGCTCAACCAGTTGCGGCGGAAGGCCAAGAAGCTCGAAGCAGGAAGACACGCATCTGGTAGCGCGGTCGGAGCCGGTAAAACAGCCGGCGCCCCGTCGAAGGGCAAAGACGAGCGTGCACGTCGTCTTAGCAAGCTACGATGCGAGATCGAGAAGCTCGAGGGCGTGGAAGGTGCGGAAGAGGTCGTTGCCGCCAGGCGTCGCGAGGCGGAGCAACTCGATTTGGATTTCGCTGAGGAACAGCCCGCGTCCGTTCAGCTCAGCGAACTGGAGCGCAAACCAAAGAATTATGATAACACGATAGAGGCACTAAAGCGGCATATCAAACGCACCACGCAAGAGATCGACGCGCCCCGGGCCAAGAAGGTGGAGCTCGCGGGCAAGCGCGAGCAGAGCAATACCACCGAGAAGGAGCTCCAGGTCCTTATTGACAACCTCCTGGCCAAGCACCAACTTGAGCGCGATGGGGGAGCTCGGGGAGGAGGTATCGGCGCCAGGGCAGCAGCGGCTGCGGCAACCCCATCAGCGGCAAGCCACCCCCGCGGAGTCGAGACACTTACTAGCGAGGCCCAGCGCGCCAACACCTTCCTCGCTGTCCTTGACCAGGCCTCAGGCGTGCTCTACCCAGAGTTCTCAGAGCAGTGGGAGGCATAAGATCGCGAACTTCGACGTCTGGCGCGCGGAGTCGCAGCCGCTGGCCCAACAGCGGAGCGAGGTGAAGCCAGCGGGGACGAACAGGAGCTGCACCTCGAGGACTCCGATCTGGGCGCCCTCGTCGGCGACATCACGGAGGAGAAGTATGGAGAAGCGCGACGAGGATGAGGAGGCAGCGGGGGCCGGCGCGAGAGGAGGCGCTGCGCGGCCCGACGACCCAGCCGCCAGGGCCGCCGCCCTGCGGCGGGCCAGGGCGGCGCAATTATTACAGGGGCTCCGCGCTGCAGGCAGGGCTCGAGCGAGGGGGGGGGCGGGGCGCGGGTGGCAAGCCCGGCGTCATTATCGCTGGCCTCAGTGGCAGCGGCTGGGGCCCGTTTACTGGGCCCCTGGGTGGGCAGAGCGACCCTCAGCAGGAGGTGGTGTCTCAGCATCGCCTCGGGGGCGCCATTTGTTTCTGGCCTCGCCGCCGCAGCAGCTGCAGCGCGATCGAGCTGGGGCAGCGGCGCCGCCGGGTTGGGCGGGGTGCAATCCTCGCCCTGGGCGTCGCGGCGGCCGGGGCGAAGGGCTCGGAGCGTCCAGCGGTGGCGCGGGCGTCGCCGTCCGCTCGGCCCGCGGCGCGCGCGGCCCCTGGGAGGGGGGCGCCGACGAGAGCTGCCGCGCGAGCGACGGCAGGGCCACGGTCGCGCACATCAGTGGCGCGGTACCTGGCGGCTTCTTGTTCGGCTCCGCGCACTTGGTCAACGACGAAACGGGCGAGAACAGCAAGTCGGCCATTCAGGGCGCGGGCGTGCCACTCGCCCGCGCGGGGGAAGCAATGGGCTCTGGCGGGCGATTGGAGCGGCATGCCCGACAGGTTTCACGAGCGCGCAGCGGACTGGCTCGGCAAGGTGAGGGGGGGCGCCTGCCGTTTCTCTTTGGAGAAGGGGGCCTCTGAGCTGGGCTAGTTCATCGTCGGCGCGGAGGCGCTGGGTCGGGGCGCGGGGCGCCGACGCCTCGACATGACTAAGCACGGTCTCGCCGGCCCTTGCTGGCCTCGCGCGGCGGTCGAGCTACCCCTGAAGCGCCGCGGCGACCTCGGCCAGTCCTTCGGGGCCAAGGGCCCGAGGGCCTTCCCCAAGGTTCGGCCCGTCGGGCCGCTTCCCGACAAGGCGTGGGAGCACGTCGCGGCGCGGGCGCAGATCGACCAGAGCAGCGTCTTCGACGACGTCACCAACGCGTGCCCGGACCTCTGCGCGGCCGCGGAGGACGAGCTCGTCTGGGCGCGCCAGATCGACCCCGACTACGAGGCCTTCTGCCAGGGCCGCGGGGCCCCCCCGAGCGTCAGAGTCGGGGCCCAGGCGCGAGCTCGATCCATCGGGGGGCCCAAGGCGTGCTACCAGGGTAAGAAGCTGATGCGCCTCAGCGATTTCTTCTCGCAGGTTCGCCTCGAGCTGGGGCCGTCGGTCGCTTCGGTCGAGGGGGCGGCCCAGAGCTCCCAGATCGCCCGGGGCCCTGAGCGGCGGGGAGCTGGGCGCGTGGAAGCATGGGCCCTGGAGTGATTCAAGCGGCCCTTGGTGCGCCGAGCGCGGATCTGGGCATCCAGCCCGACCAACCCGCGCGAGGACAAGGGCGAACGGATGGGCTTCTGCGTTCTGCGCATATTCCGCGCGCTGGGCCTGCCCGCCCATGTCGTCGCGGGCCAGGTGCAGGGCTTCGAGGGTCGCGTGCAGACCGCGATCGATGCGCTAGTCAGCGCGGTGTATCGTGGGCCAGGCGGCAGGCAGAACATGGCGCGCTTCGTCTGCCGGCTGCCCGCCCTCGACCGCGTCAGCTGGGAGGGGGGGGGGCCGCGGGGACATCGACAACTATCGCGAGTCCAGGAGGTGGCTGGAGGAGCACGGGGACTGCGACAGGCCTCCCAGAGGCGCGCCAGTCGTCACTGGGTGCCACCGCCAACGGCCCCCGTCCGTGGGAACCGCGCGCTTCGCACGGCTGGGGGCAATCCCCCCAGCCGGTCCACCGCGACGCCCGCCCCCCCACCCCCTTCCCCCCGCGCTTTGCGCCGCAGGGGCGCCCGCCGACGCGGGCGAGGGGGGGCGGGGCGCCGCGGGGGCGGGCGCGGCAGGTGCCAGGCGGACCCTGCGCCGTCTCGGGCGAGGTTGGCCCCCCCCACGCATGCGCGCCACCGACGCAGTGCAAGACCGCGAGGAGTGGATGCGTGTTTGCACGCGCAACGCATGCGCGCGCCTCAGCCAGCTCGAGAGCGAATGCGTGGACGCCGACGCTGAGCGCAGCGCCCAGGGCGACCCGGTCGACTCAGGCGCAGCAGTTGGCGGCCCAGCAGATGGTGGTGCTGGCGGAGAGCCCAGGGCGTCCATTGGCGGCGTCGCAGCAGTAGGCGCTGCCCAGCAGCCGAGGCAATTCAGCGACAGCAGCCGCGCGCTGGGCCGCGGCGGTAGAACTCTGCGACGACGGCTGGGCGGCCACCGAGGCGACGCGCGCCTCGTATCAGCAGCTCATGAGCGAGCTGGCGGCGAATCGACCCCGACCGCTGGGCCGAGGCCGACGGGGAACACTACGGCTCCATTCGGTCGGTCAAGCGCTTCATGCGCCACCGCGGGGGGGGGGCCCGCCAGACAGCGACGGCGACGGCGGCGGCGCCAGTCCCGGCGGCGCCAGCCAGGGC